TTAAAGGAGCTTTTTATATGATTTAAACATTTATACATATATTTTTTACATGATTAATTATAATGATTTAAAATGCAATACATATGATATTTAATGATACATTAGACATGTCAATGTTGAAATTAAAATTTAGGGAATAAGGTATACATTTTTAATTAATTAACAAATATATGATTTTAAAGTATAGACATTTTTTTTTATAAAAAAATCCTATTAATTATGTTTTAATATGAAGATAACACAATGTCTACAAAAAACTGTTAATTCGTTTCGTTGATTTAATACATCTTTATTTTTAGGAAACTTAATAATATATAACTTTTCCTGTAGGCAAACAGGACATGGGTCATTTAATGACCTACGAGTTCTTGTTTGTTTTTAATAATTTCCATTTTATTGTGGAGAGCTTTATTTGTTTTTTTTTTTAAAATGGAATGTGTGTGTGTGTGTGTGTGAATGCATACTTAAGGTGTGCCTCCGTGGCAATTCGAAAGTTAAAAAAAAACTTAAATAATTCTAATAACGTAATCATTGACGGTGAAAGAAATCATTTGGTTTTGTGAAGAAATATTCATTCTTCTCATGATTAATCTCCACAGGATAATCCAGAATCATATTAACTCCAAGACCAGGAACATTTGGAACTAAATGTCAGAACCATTTAATGAAATTGGTTTGAGATAAGCTGAAATGTCTACAGGCTGCATCAGGTATTCGAAAACAGACTTTGACATAATCATGTTATATGACAGTAAACACTATATTTTTACAGAATGTAGAAATTAAATTCTTACATGAATACACAAAATACATCTATTTAATATAAACGCTATCAGCTTGGATTATGGCCTCTACAGCTTCTGAGAAGATTATATGAAATGACCAGGTATTCTATATGAATGCTCGTCATGACATCAGCCGACAGCTGTTTTCAGCGAATCCTTCGTATTGGGGATATTCTTGCCAGTTTAACGACGCCCAGACGAAATAGCGTATAGGTTTTAAATCAGAAAATAGAGTGCGGTGATTTCTAATTTTTTGCCCTTGACGCAGACCTTACAAAAAAAACAGTTCTCGCATCCCTTTGAAGCCATCAGCCACTTCTCACATCCCTTTTAAACCAGCACACACTTCTCGCATCCCTTTCAAACCACCAACAATTCCTCACATCCCTTTCAAACCACAGGACACTTCTCGTATCCCTTTCAAATCACCAACCAGTTCTCGTATCCGTTTCAAACCATCAGCCACTTCTCGGTGGGATCTGTGGGTGATGAACAGCGAGCGTCTGCTAGCCGCCCTAATAGACAGGTAACCTCGAATACGAGTGGCCAGCTATTACTAAAGCGGAGAGGAGGATATAAAATGCAAAAGTTGGTAATAATAGGAAGAATTGAAATTAATTTTTTGTTAAAAGATGGGTATATATATATATATATATATATATATATATATATATATATATATGTGTGTGTGTGTGTGTGTGTGTGTGTGTGTGTGTGTGTGTGTGGTAGGATCCACCTAATTTCCATAGTGGAGTACCGACCATATAAATATGGTTGGTACTGGAAGAGAGGGATGAATCAAGAGATTCAACCAGAGACTCTGCCTGACTGCGACTCAGTCAACACATTCTCCAGGAACGGTCTTACCAGGAATATACAAAAGACTATATGTAAATATTGAGTACACTTTCTTGTTTCAATACATTTTGTTCTAAGTACATTTTGTGTTGCATTATTATTCCATGCATTAGTCAAGTTTCAACAATATGAAACGTGTATATATATATATATATATATATATATATATATATATATATATGTGTGTGTGTGTGTGTGCATTTTTTTCTATATATCACTTATATATTATATATGCGCGGTACTTATTGGAAAGCGCTCAATATCAGAGATAGAGCTAACATATTTAGTTGGATTGATGTGCGTTTGTGACCCTGGGTTTCACGCTTTTGCGCATATATGTGTCGTTGCGCACATACGTACGCATTTGGTCGCTGTATTCAATGTTGGATTGTGTAGCGAATATTTTTTTGTTTGTTGCGCGCTCAACGCGCAGAGCGTTTTTCTATTTTTGTTCGCTGAATAATATTTTCTCGCACGCACGTATATACGAATGATGGGGTGTGTGTAAGACTATGATAGTTAAATTTTTTTCCTCCCACTTTCATAAAACCAACAGTATACGCAACCATATATAAATCCAAAATTTAAAAATTAATCAGTTTATCTGACGATCGCAAATAGCGTGAAACTCAGAGTGACAAACTCACATCAATCCAAGTATATATTTATATATATATATATATATATATATATATATATATATATATATATATAGAGTAGAGCCCGGCGTTGCCCGGGGATGTAACAGTAAGAGATAGATCAAATATCGACCATCATAAAGACTGAAAAATAAAATTGACAAAGATTATTGTTTAAGGTTGACGGACACGCATGTCTTAATTAGTTTTTTTTTTTTTACGAATTGGTCAAACCTAAACTCAATCAAAACATTGTTTTCAATCGTTATGAGTCTATCGATTGAATAGAATTTTATTATAAACAATTGTCTTGTAAATGGAATTTTAAAGCATTCTGAATGTAAAAATAAAGAAAAAGTGTGCAAGACAATAAGAAACACTACCTGCAAAAAAAGTGAAGTTTTGTTGAAATCGGTTGAAAAAGGAAATCCGATCCCATATATAAATCCGAACCCATACACAAACGACACACACACACACACACACACACACACACACACACACACACACACACAAAACAACCTTGGTTTATAATAAGTATAACTGGATATGAGTTGTCCCCTTTTCATTCTGGCGACACAATCGTGTTTTATCACGTTTTCAAATTGATTCCGTGCAAAAACAATCGTGTTATTCCAATTTTTGGCGCTGTCAGAACCACCGCAAGGTAATTTTACGCAATCCTGGGAAGTTTTGTTGAAATGGTTTGAAAAATGTAGGAAATCCGATCAATTATATAAACGTGCAGACACACACACAATCTGCGTTTTTTAATAAGTAAGATATACGTGTGTCTATCCAATATAATTTAGTTTCTTTATGCTTTTGTCTTTGTTTTGACCACTGTTATTATTCTGATAAATCGCTTCTCCGAGACCTGGAAGGACATTGGTCTGACTATCAGCCTGAAAAAGAATGAATATCGTAGGGCATTCACCATTGACGACTACGAGCTGGAAGTTAACGTACCTCGGGTCTACGATAAGCAGCGACCTCACTCGGAACACAGGGTTGAGATCTCTGGCCTCATCGACTCATCAGAATAATAACAGTCGGCAAAAAAAAAAAAAGACTGGGAAAGCAGTACCAACATTCGCTCGCTCGCTCGCTTCACCACGCAAGTGTGGTAGAGCTTCAAGCTCTCTGTCAAGACGATGATGGGAGTCTACAGTGCCTGCGTCGTAAGCATACTTCTCAACATGAGCGAGACATGGGCGATATATATCAAGCAAAAGAGACAGAATACTTTTCACTTGAGGTGTATTTGCCGCATCCTGGGAATATCGTGAAAGGACGCCTGCCCAACACTGAAGTTCTGTCTTGCGCCGGCATAACAAATATGTTCCCTCTGCTCAGACAGCGCAGTCTGCGATGGCTGGGTCATGTTCGCCGAATTCCAAACGACATCTTCCACGGGGGACTTGCAAATGGCAAAAGCGACACCTCCCGCCCTCAGTTGCGCTACAGAGGCGTCTGTAAGAGGGAAATGAAAGTCCTTGAGATCAACAGTGGCCACTGGGAGGACCTTGCTGCTGATCGTTCGGGGTGGAGAAGCACCCTGACTAAACAACTAATGTCAAGAGAGGAGAAACTGAGCATCACAGCAGAAGACAAGCGGACCCGCAGAAAAGAACGCTGTAGCATAGACAACACACAGGAAATTCTCAGATGTGACTTTTGTGACATTGACAGTCACACGCGCATCGGCTTTTTCACCCACAGGCGGTGATATTCCCCAGAAGCAGGAGGGTGGGATCAAATCCATGACAATTGATGACCGGTGGAGGCCTTTACTATTAGTAAGTATCTCACATTGTGATGATCTGTCAAGTAAGATGAAATAATTTAATTAATTTTCCTTACACTGTTCTGATATCTAAACATTTCTACGTCATATACTCATATCCCCGACTGACGCCAATTCAGTCGGGTTTCGATTCTAGCTAGAGGCAACCGGACGTCTAGCCAGACTGTGACACATCGAAACAGTCTGTCTGTGGATGACAATATATATATATATATATATATATATATATATATATATATATATATATATAATATTTGGTAAGCCCTATGGAATTTCCAAGAGGATATAGATCCAATGAGAGCTCTATGTCAAAGACAGAGGAATAATTATTATATAATGAAAAACAAGCACTTAAAATACCATAGGTGATATTTATTTCATTGAGGTCGATGTATATATATATATATATATATATATATATATATATATATATAAGAAATGGACAAAGTCCGACAATTTATTAAAGACATTTTTATGTTTTTCTTTTTATAGATACAAGTATTTAAGTAAATGCTCTGTTTATAATTTTTATTTTCTCGGACATTCAGGCCGGTAAATGTTATTTAATACTGTTTATTATAAACAGAGCATTTACTTAAATACTTGTATCTATAAAAAGAATGTTAAACATATATATATATATATATATATATATATATATATATATATATATATATATATATGATACCCACTGAAGTGTGAACGAACAGGTCTGCTTACGAAACTCTTGAATCGGATGCTGAAGGTAACATAAATCAACTAAGTAGCAAAATTTTGCTTATATAAATTCTACACCCCCATATATATATATATATATATATATATATATATATATATATATATATATATATATAATTTCAGTCCTAAGTGAACTGAATTCGACTGAATTTTCATTCCGCGCTGCTATCAATTATGCCACCTGCATATCCTTATCTATCTATCTATCTATCTATCTATCTATCTATCTATCTATCATATGACCATGTTTGATTTAGTGTTCTGACATTCAATGTACCGGAATCTTTTTTTATTTTGATCCAAACAGCCGCTGGATGACAGTCTGGTGACACCTGCCGCGTTGTCTTTCTTTACCGGACGAACGATCTAATTTGTTGATAAAATAACTACTACATGCAAATATAGCCGTTGGTAGATTGCATTAGGTGGCACGGTGGAGTAATGGATAGCGGCTCGGATTGCGGAATCGGAGAGCCGAGTTCGAATCCATTCTATTCTATTCCGTGCTAACACCTTTGGGAAAGGTATGAATCCACTTCTTCTTCCCAGCCACGGGATTCTATAGCCTTGGATGGCAACTGGTCTACCGCAGAAATAAATGTCAACCTACTGCAGGAGAAAAATCTGCTTCGTCAGTCATGCATCGAAAGATACATGATCGCCTAAGCGAGTATAACTGACTAAGCTTGTAGTATGTGTCTTATTTTATCAACGTTATTTTTTATTTGTGTTTTTATTTTTATGGGTTTCCTCTTTTTAGTCCCCCCCGCCGAAAATAAAAGAGCGTAAAATTGTGAAAAAGTATTTCATATGACATATTTAGAATATTGGAGGACTTTAGGAGTATCTTCAAATTATTTTCCTTCATTGTGTGAGTACAGAGGGCTGCAAATTCTTAATGCTCTTTGGCCTTTTCAAATTCTCTACAGCACTTATATGAGATATGTGAAGTACCTCTGCGATGACCCCTGTCTTATGATCTCGTTTAATCAGTATTATTTCGATTTGGTCATCGTGAACGACTGAGGGTTTACCTGCAGGATTACATTGCAGGATTACCTGCAGGATTACATTGCAGGATTACCTGCAGGATTACATTCTCAGTTTTCTCAAATATCTCTACTTCTGAACCTAGCAAGCCACTTATAACAGTAAACTCAGATATGGAACCATTTCCAAAAAAACAGCACCTATATTTTTTGCTGATTGTACAGTTTTCCCCCGACCGAAAATAAAAGAACGTGAAATTGTGAAAATGTATTTTCATTTTTCTCCGTTGTTAATTTTAGCGTAAAAAGATTTAAAATTTACAATACATACACGAACCGCATAGGACATTTTGAAATATCACCTTTCACTGTAAGTCTAAAATTCATCCATGAATTTCTTAAGATACAAAGAACAATCAGCAATATTATTGGTCCTGACCTGACATCTCGACTTCAGTCACTTTCCCATCGCAGCTTCCTTGTACGTCTTCTAAAAATAATTTCATGGTAATTGTTCTGATGAACTTTCATCTGCGGTACCGTAGACTTGATGAATTTATGCGTTGTAATAGATTGGGAACAAGGTTTCATCATTTTACAGTTGAAATTGCAAGATGTAACCGTAAGTTCTATGCTAACAGTTTCTTCTATTGCACTTCTCGCTTGTGGAAATCTCTTACGGCTTCTTGCTTCCCAGTCAAGCTTAAAAAATTTAAATGTAATATCAATCGTTATTTTGTCGTCTTAATTCTTGTTGTAGATTTTATGACTTTAAGCACAGGACCAGATCAGTGACAAGGTTGACTCATTTTACAGTTGAAATTGCAAGATGTAACCGTAAGTTCTATGCTAACAGTTTCTTCTATCGCTTATGGAACTCTCTGTCTCTCTCAGCTTCTTGACTTTCCAGTCACTTTTGATTTTCAAAAATTTATATACAGTGTCAGTCGTTATCTTCTATCATTTTAATTCTTGTTCTTTTATTGTTCTCTGTCTTTAATAATTTTTTTTCATATATTCTTTCGCGGTCAGTAATCCCTTGTATCTTAGTGGCTTTATTGATGAAATTATTAAACAGAAATATATAATAATATTTAATCTCGTACGAAACATCACCAATTGAAAAACACTATGAAATTTTGTTCTAACCAAAACGTTGGTGTATAATGCGCATCCTTGACTAATACGCAGCCCTAAATTTTAAGCTTTTAGATTTGATAAAAAGAGTGTAGATTATAGACGAATAATTACGGGTTTAACTTTGAATGTTTATCAGAAAATTCTGGACATGCACAGAAAGAACTCAAATTTATATTATAGAAGGTTGATATTATATATGGTTGATTGCATTCTGCCAATTCTTACTCTCTTTTACAATCGTTCATTATCGTTTTCGACCAAATTAGACTTACTGTATCATTCATTAGGATTGCGTTAACGTCAAGAAAGTTCGAGAAAAAAATCAATAGTTCTTCGTCTTCTTCCGTCGACATGCCGACAAAGTCTAGCGGGGGCTGATACAGAAGACGAAAGCGCAGCCTCTTATCAGACTATGTTCGGTATCACTGCATTATTTTGCCTCAGCGCTTTATTCTTTAAATCCCCCGTCTTTCTTCTCACAGGCCGCCATTTTGCAAAGCCTATTGCTTCGATAGTCTCGTTCTCCAACGTGACTCAATAATTGGACGTACACTTTTCACATTGCCTCGTCTCAGTTTGACCTACGTTATTCTTCTTCTATTCTATCACCCCCCACACCATTTTTTAGGAAGGAAACGGCAGGTTGATTATTTGCACCGCAGGTCGTGTGACCTCTCGCTGACATTTGCAAAGATGGCTGCTTTCTTTTATTAATTTGTCAGCGGGAAAGTGAGGTTCACCGGGATAATGATGCGATTTTGACTTTCAGCTCTTCTTTCTCTCCGCTATATTTTATTCGCCTTTACCAAAACTGATGAGCCTTTTCCCAAAATACGAATTGACATTTTGAGGTCAGGGGTTGCATGCATACCTCTGACGATTATATAAGCAAACGCGCAGACTGGTCATAAATTGCTGAATGTATCAGGTGTATGCAAAAGTACTTAGCTCTAATTTTTTTTTTTTTTGAACTAGATATTGAAAACACACTTGAAATTTGGGTTTTACTAAGAAAAGTTTCCACATGTCTGAACTGCAAGTATTTCTAGAAAATAGTGAAGAAAAAGGAGAAGATATTAATTTTACGGACAGGATGTATGGTCATTTGCAAAAAAATTCAGTACAAGATCTACAGAGTGAGGAGGTTTGGATAAAGAAAGTATAGAAATTTAAATATCTAGATATATAACAGAAAATGTGGCACAGAAATCCGAATTAGCAATGGAATAGCGAACAAAACTTTCTATAAATTAAAAAATGTCGTGCTAGACAATTTTTTCTCTCCAGAATGTATCTGACATATCTATAAGTCTACCATTCGTTCATGCTTAGAATATTGCTGCCAAATATGGTCCGTACCCCTGCTATTTACCTTGATCTTGATAAAATCCAAAGAAGAATTAGTAATATTATCGGTCCTGATCTGGCATCTCGGCTTCAGTCAGTTTCCCACCGCCGTAAAGTTGCCTCTCTATGTCTTTTCTGTAAATAATTTCATGGTAATTGTTCCAACCAGCTCTTTGCTATGGTACCCAGACTTTTTGAATTTAAGCGCAGTACTAAACAGGCGTCGTGATCTCATCAATTTACAGCTGGCTGGATGCAACCGTAAATTCTATGCTAAAGTTTTCTTTTCTCGCACTTCTCGCTTGTAGAACTCCCTTCCGGCCTATGTTTTCCAGTCAACTTTAATCTGCAAAAATCTAAATGCAATGTCACTTGCTATCTACTGTCCCCCTGATTCCTCTTCTTTTCCCCTTTTCCACTCGTTGCTTAGCAACGTTTCTGTTTCTAATTCTTCCATATCCAGTAACCCCTTGTATCTCAGTGGCTTTACCACCTTGCATGGGGTGAACTCGATTAAAAAAAAAATTATTAAGAAAGAGGAAAATTTCGTTTGAAACTCAGCTAACATTGCTTAACTGTTAGTTAATATTAGTCCTCCTATATGGTAGTAAACGCTGGTCCATTTTCCTCAGACGGGACTTGAGGCGACTTGAGGCAACAGGGATGTGGTTTTATAAAAAAAAGCTGAGAATGCCATGAAGAGAATATATAAACAACAAGGATATTTTAAGGAAAATAGAAAAAAAAAATAAATAAAGACACCAATATTTAGAATCAGAAAGGGACAGTTGAAATTTCTGGGACACATAATGTTATATAGGAATAAAGTGTCGCTACCGACACTTGAGTTTGAACATAGATGGTGTTATGGTCCGGTTCCTTGTACCCCGGTGATAGTCCAAGGTAGAACCAATAAAGAAGAACTCGAATACGGATATGGAATAACACAGATATATTACAAACAGGAATATATACAGAGAAATAGAAAGTGTTAGTACGAACAATCAGGTTTAGTAGTAATTGTCTGAACGCGACTCTGTTTCGGACAGCCTTTGACTCGACTGACTGACTCGCTCGCTCTGATTGACTGACTGACAGACTCCTGACGGACTTCACTCCAGGCTTCAGCCGGAAACTCCTGTTTCCTCTCGAGGCGCAGTATTTATTACGTATGGCATAGTCCATTATGTTATTATGGGTAAGGTAACAGATGGCCAGTGAGAAAATACAGGCGATCCCATTACTAAACTAAGTAGACCACGTGACCATACAGGAAACGTATATATGGGAGGTAGCGTGACGTCTAATAGATCGCTATTTCTAGTCTATCCTTTATTACTGTTCGGATCACTTTTCTAGTCTATCCTCTATACTATACGGATCGACATTTCTAGTCTATCCTCTATACTATACGGATCGCCATTTCTAGTCTATCCTCTATACTATACGGATCGCCATTTCTAGTCTATCCTCTATTAATAATCGGATAGCTATTTCTACTCTTTTACTATACGGATCGATATTCTCTTCTTTACACTATTCTCTGTACGGATTACTATGCTTTGGTTATTTTAAAGCGAGTATTATCGAATGTGTACTATTAGGGCTATTGCTATTCGAAGGCGTCTGACGCCAGTATTGTCCAACGGCGTTAATATGGTGGTATCTTCGATTACAAAGTCTCTACTACAACGAGCATTACAAAATTGACAACGAGTATTCGTTGACATTGCAAAACATAATGAGAAAAGAGGGCTTGAAGAATTTGACACTCACAACATATATAGAGAGCCAGACGGAAACAGCGAGTAACCTACATAATAAGGTTGGACAAGTGGATGGCAGAGGGAGAGTAAATAGATAACTATTGCTTTGAGCTACTAAAGACACAAAGATGGGGAGGGCATTGATCGTCCATATGCTGACGGAGAAAGGCACATAAACGTAGAAGAATTATTACTCCCAGTATATCAGTCATCTGGCGGCTGTGCATTGTGGTGTAAGCACTATCTGCTCGGAATGAGAAATCGGAGAGACGAGTTCGAATTCCAGTCGGGTTCGTTACATTCACTTACACTCAAATAGCCTTGGAAAAGATCATATAGCCTTGGTTGGCAACCAGTCTACTGCAGAAAAAAAAAACGGCAGCGTGCTACGGGAAATCTTTTGCTTAGTCAGTCATAAATCGAAAGAGAAACGATCACCCAAGCGTTTATCACTTTGCCTTGCACGCTCGTTTCTATATTCTATAGAAGTGTCTGAAGAAGGCCGGGAGTACAATGGTCGAAACGTTGTGACCATAATATTCGTCGGATAGTAAATAATGTAAATGTTGTATCGTCGAGTTGAGATTGAATGATACAGAGAAGAAAGGGTGCTTAATATATTTATTCAGCACCAGTATCCGGTGCTAATGGATACATACAAAAAACACAGAACAATAAGTTACAAAACAATTAACAAGACAACTTACAAGGAATAGAGGAGGGTCAAATGCTGTATAGCCAAACGAAGTAAGATCAGTCCGAATATTAATCAGCTTAGTATCAACTTATTAATCAATTATTGAAGTTCTTAATCGTAGACTATTTTAGACTATAAGCCAGGCCATCTGGTAGAGTGTTGAAGGGGTGCTAGCTACTCAACAATAGTAAATAAAAAGGGAAGTGCGAAAAAAAATCACGTATCCCACACTTGACGAAATAGACTTAACTGCATAGCATGTCTTAATTAACATGTCAAGAGGCAGTGTACCTATGACAATGTAGCTATGGTAGCATTTTGATGTCGACTGGATTTAAGACCAGTTGTGCACGAGATTATCGTTGAGGACGAGAAAGTTAGTGCATCCCATCTGGCAAATGTCCTGAGTATTCCCCAGCAAAGTTAGCGAGTTTAAACTAGAAATCTGCGAATTCCAGAACGATAACTATCTGAAAACTACGAGCATCCACATGAAATGCAAAGGCGGGATTGCCAGCGATTGAGCTCGGTGCTAACTACCCACTTAAGAGGGACGTTAGATCAGATCCCATCGCAGTTCGACGCTGGTATCATTTAATCCATCAGTCAACTCACTGTACAATCTACCATGCAATGTCTGTCTACACGAACTCTGTCTACCAACTGACAACGCTAATGTCAAGGTACTAAAGACACTAAGACTCAAGGTGTTACTGAGTGTGAAAGAATAAGAAAAAAAAGAAACATTATTAAGAACCAAGAAAAATAAAAGAAGAGTAATCAAGAAGACAGTAGATAACGATTGACATTGCATTTAAATGTTGGAAGATCAAAATTGGCTAGAAAGCCGGAAGAGAGTTCCACAAGCAAGAAGTGCAAGTAAAGAAACTGTTAGCATCTTTTGTCTTCTTGAACCCATTAATTATTTTGTCCTTTACTCAATTCTCCCTATTCTAAGTTTTTTTTTCTTTCTTTTTCATTGTCACTCCCTTTAACTCCTGCTAGTGGCATTACCGCCTTGCGTGGGGTGAAATTATTAAAAAAAAAAAACCCAAAACTCACAGTTACACCCAGCCAATTCAACAGTGAATTAATGTGATCTTGCTGCCAATCTAGTACTGCGCTTAAATATATGAAGTCTGGGTATTATAGCGAAAAGTTCATCTAAACAGTTAATATGAAAGTATTTTTAGAAAACGCACGGGGAAGCCTCACTACGGTGGTGGGAAAGTGATTAAAGCCGGTACGCCAGATCAGGACCAACAATATTGCTGATTCTTTTTTGGAGTTTATCAAGAATCTCTAAATATATAGTAGTGGGGGGGGGACCAGACCAGATGTGACAGCAATATTCAAAGCAAGGACGAATCGTATATTAATGGATTCAGGCATGAACACAAGCAATGTTTATCAACCCAGGTATATAGATGTCTGTCTATGGTCTCGGCTATAAACACGATGAATGTCTAGCAATTGATTCAAGTATAAACACGACGGATATCTACCTGACAACCAAACGGAATGATCACCTATCGATTCAAGTGTAATAAATATATTTCGTCATTAATTTTGCCAACAAACGTGAAATCCACCCGCAAATCAACCGAAGCTTAAATCACGTACCTCAATTTAGCAAGATGATACCTCTTTGTCACCGGACATTTTCCCATTAGCGGCTGTTACACGCAATTTCAAGTGAAGAATTCAATTTCCCATCGATTGGGCCGAGGTTTTTATTCAATATAATTTCTCGGAGAATTTCTCTCATTTTAAATTCCAAAGGAGGAATTCGACCATTTAGAAATCCATTTATCTGGATAACTCAAATTAGTCATTGATTATGTCAGGATAGAGACGGTTGGAATGAATTTCCATGTGAAAACAATGGAATCATTTGCGAGTAAACCATTTATAGAAATTAGAAACATTACTTGATAAACAGATAGTAAGAAGAAACGCAGAAGAGTCTTCGAGTTTTGTAATCGAATTCTGGACAAACAATGATGAATTGGTTTTAAGAAGCGGGCCGAGAAAATGCTTGATTATTTTAAAAGAAATTAGATTAATTGAATGGAATGAAGAATATCTTTTGTTGCAAAATTAACTTTTATCACCAAATAGATATTACTTAAAGATAATAAATGGCGTATTTTATGTTCCCAAAATCACAGCTTCGTCTGTTTTCCCGACTTGTTAATTTTATTTCCGGCCCAATCTTTCTTTTACAATTCTTTTGCTTTTCTTTTTCATTCTGGTCGGTTTTTCGTTTTCGTGTTTTTCTGTTGTTTCATTTTCTCATTTTGTACCGTTTTTCCTTTTTTTCCCTTTTCTTTTCTTTTTCTTTCTCATTTTATCCCCTTTTTCCTTCTTTTACTCTTCTTTTTTTCCTTCTCAGGCTGGTCCGTTTTTCGGTCTTGTACTCTTCTTTTTTTCCTTCTCAGGCTGGTCCGTTTTTCGTTCTTGTACTCTTCTTTTTTTTTTTCCTTCTCAGGCTGGTCCGTTTTTCGTTCTTGTACTCTTCTTTTTTTCCTTCTCAGGCTGGTCCGTTTTTCGTTCTTTTTTCTTTCTTTTTTTTTCCTTCTCAAGCTGGTCCGTTTTTTCGTTCTTGTACTCTTTTTTTTTTTTCTTTCTCAGGCTGGTCCGTTTTTCGTTCTTGTACTCTTCTTTTTTTCCTTCTCAGGCTGGTCCGTTTTTCGTTCTTTTACTCTTCTTTTTTTCCTTCTCAAGCTGGTCCGTTTTTCGTTCTTGTACTCTCCTTTTTTTTTTCTCAGGCTGGTCCGTTTTCGTTCTTGTACTCTTCTTTTTTTTTTCCTTCTCAGGCTGGTCCGTTTTTCGTTCTTGTACTCTTTTTTTTTTTTTCCCTCAGGCTGGTTCGTTTTACGTTCTTGTACTCTTCTTTTTTTTCCTTCTCAGGCTGGTCCGTTTTTCGTTCTTTTACTCTTCTTTTTTTCCTTCTCAAGCTGGTCCGTTTTTCGTTCTTGTACTCTTCTTTTTTTCCTTCTCAGGCTGGTCCGTTTTTCGTTCTTGTACTCTTCTTTTTTTCCTTCTCAGGCTGGTCCGTTTTTCGTTCTTTTACTCTTGTTTTTTTCCTTCTCAAGCTGGTCCGTTTTTCGTTCTTGTACTCTTCTTTTTTCCCTTCTCAGGCTGGTCCGTTTTTCGTTCTTGAACTCTTCTTTTTTTCCTTCTCAGGCTGGTCCGTTTTTCCTTCTTTTACTCGTCTTTTGTTTTTCGCTATCATTTTGTACCCTTTTTCGTTCTTTTATTTTCCTTTTTCTTTCTCATTTATTCCCCTTTTTTTCTTCTTTCACACCCTCTTTTGTTTCCCTTTTTTCATTCTGCTTCGTTTTTCGTTCTTTAACTCTTCCGCTGTTTTTCTTTCTGATTTTGTTCAATTTTTCCTTCTTTTTTTATTTTTTTATTCTGTCTTGTTTTTACGCAAAAAACAGAAAGTGAGGTAAGACAATGATGAGTCTTCTCGCCGGACTTATTCAGCCTTGAAAATCAGGGAGATACATAATTTATTACTGATTTAATACATTAACTTTGGCATAAGGCTTGATTTTTTTAAGCGTAGCTTAGATGTGTTACAAAGCCGAAAGTATGGGGCACCCGGTGAGGATGCAACTCACTAACCATTTATAACTGTCTTAGCGAGACGAGATTGTTAACCATTACATCACGTCATGTTACCCTAAGGGAGTGAGATTCTGTGGGAATTAAAATTCTTACTAGGATTCATTATTAGAGGCTACAATCTGTTCCTTTCTCGTGTTGACTCTTTTTTTCTTTCTATTATCCCTTTCGCGCCCCTTTCTCATTTTTTGCTCTTTTTCCTTTCTTTTATTCTCCTTTTATTTTCCTTTCTCATTTTAGCTGTTATGCCCATTCTGTTACACCCCTTCCTTTTTTTTTCCTCAATTTTGCTCTTTTACTCTCGTTTTTGTTCTTTGTATTCAGTTCTTGACCATGTTTCCTTCCCAGGGTAGGTTAGACAGAGTTATATCCGAAGATTTGAATAGCTTTTGAATATCGCCCTAATGTATGCATTTCAGATCGTCTGAATCCTTTCAGATTTACCCATGGTAGGCTGACAGGAGTTGATTTTTTTTTATTGATGTCCTTGGCCATTCTGTCCCTGCTCAAGGAATGTAATGGCGGTTCAATGAGCAATTCAGCCTTCTGCGGTATCCAAAAAAAGCTGTAAAAAGAATTATTCATTAGTCTCTCATGTAACAGAATAAGATACGTGGGTAGCACTGTGTTGATGACTGAATGAGAATGAAAACTGAGAGAAGTCTTAGACAAGGTCGTAATGGAATGCAAAAAGAAATGCCTGTCAACTGTAAGAAAACGGCATACATTGTTATAAACAAGAGAGACAATGTGTCCACTAAAATTTGGAGACATCAACATCAAGTAAGTGCAGAAATTTAAACCTTTTTAATCATTACCCTCAATCAAGGCAACAAAGCCATTAAAACATTAACACTGTCAAATGCCTTCGACATATCTAAATAAACAGTTCGTGCTTCACGATTTTTATCTAAAGTTTGATAGTTTCTTTCAGCAATAATCTTTACTACATCAGCAGTGGACCTAGAGAAGCAAAATCCATATTGCTTGTCTGAAAGAAGACACTGTTAGGTGATATGCTTAGCCACTTCTGAGTTGATAAAAACTTATATCACTTTGCCGAAGTGAGGTAGAAGGCCGATAGTTGGAAGGATCGGCTGATTTCTTAAAGACTGGAACTACAAATTTCCAACAGGAAGGAAAACAAGAAACTGCAAAGCATTTATTGTATAGTTTAATGAGAACAAGGGGTCAGAACGGAAGTACATTAAAGCTGTAGTAACAGATAAACGGAAAATGTGACAGAGAAATTCGAAGGCAAATTAGGAAAGCGAAAGATGCCTTCTAAAAGTTAAGCAAAGTATTAAGAAACAGGAATATTTCGTTAGAAACAAAGTAAAGAGCTGAACTGCTATGTAATATTAACTCTCCGACATGTTAACAAATGCGAGACAATTATAAAGATGAGAATCGAAGCGGTAGACTTATTTCTACAGAAGTATGCTGAGAATATCACAGACGGAACATTTGAGCAATGAGGAAGTTTTAAGGAAAATGGTACAAAAAGTGTTGTTTATTCTTACAATCCCTTCATACATTCTGTTATGATCTCCAAACTAGATCCAAACAAACGTTACAGTTCCCTGCAAATGTCTTAAGGAAATGTACCTACACTTCTTGCTTTCCAGTCAGTGGCATGTAGAGATCTGGTAGCGCCCGGGGGAGGATTGTGATTTTAATTTTGGATGTATTTGCTAAATTATGTTTCTTCTTCTTCTTCTTCTTCTCCTCCTCCTTCTTCTTCTTCTTCTTCTTCTTCTTCTTCTTCTTCTTCTTCTTCTTCTTCTTCTCCTCCTCCTCCTTCTTCTTCTTCTTCTTCTCCTCCTCCTCCTCCTTCTCTGCCTTTGCTGCAACAAAAATAATATGCTCTATCGAAAGTGCCGCTCCCCCAGGGGGTGCCGCCCATGACCACCGTCCCTATCGACCCCCATCTTTGCATGCCAATGTTTCCAGCTAGTTGGAAATCAGCTTTTGTGGTCCCTATCTTGAAGAACGGTGGACCTGATCTATCAAATTATACTGTAAACCGATAGGACCCTGCTGCTAACCAAGTATTCTGCTTAAATTCATAGGTATCATAGCAAAGAGCGATATTTATTTCCGCTTGAAATACAGAAAATGTGTCACAAGTCCCAAAAAGGTGAACTGGGAAAAGGACGGTCTTCATCTGTCTTAACTTTAAACTTAGCTAGCCACAAACACTGACACAAACATACCACAATATTCCTAACACCAAATCAACACATTCTTACTTACCTTTCATAGCAAAGAGCTCATCCGAACGATTATCACAAGGCAGAAGGAAGAAACTTTATGCCGATGGGAAACTGAGTGAAGCTGACACCAATAATATTGCTGATTCATCTTTGGATTTTATCTAAGTTATTAGAATATCTAATAATAAATCAGGAGCAATATTCTGTGAATGGACAAATGATAGGCTTATAGGTATGTAAAATAGATTCAGGAGAGAAAAGTTGTCTAGCACGATACAGTATATCAACTTTCTTGGCAGTACACCTAGTCATGGATTCAACATTGTCTTTCTACTCTATGACGGCCGGAGAAGACTCAAGAAGTGGTGAAAGGCAAAAATGAGTCTCTCAGTTGATTAATGGCGAGCAGTTTTGTTATGGAGACATTAAAATTGACAAGACCTCCTTTTCCCCAGTTAAAAAAAGATTGTAAGCCTTTTTTGAGATCTGTCGCCAATTTGACCATATCGATCATGCCAGACTTTCTGTCGAGACAGTAGTAAACAGTTATGTCATCAGCGTAGGTAACAAATTGAGAACTGATATATATATATATCTGTATTTTTGTAAGCATTTAACATATATTTATATATTTGTAAGTGGTTATGAAAATAAATGAATAGTTTGGAATGTTTATATTTACGTTAAGTTAACCACCAAAATTGGGTCAGAAGTAACTTTTGTATTTGGGAGCCATTAGCATAGCTTAGATTTTGCGTAGCAATGGTAGCGTACACAGTGGATTAAAGTAAAAATCCTATTCTCCATAATAACAAAAATACTTCTTCTCCATAATAACACAAGGTAATACGTTGAAACTCGGTTGGACTATTCTACCCAATACACCATATTAACCTGGCCTTCCACCAACCGATTATTACCTTTAGGGCCGGTGTAAGAGTCTCGTACGCACCGAATCTGTGGTACGCCATCCCCCACTCTACTTTCATTAATTAGTATTCATATAAAATATGGGTTTTATTGTCGCCTAATTATGTACAGTAATGGATCATATGCAATATAGGTAAACAATTCAACTAGAAAAATTGAAAATAAATACAGTGTATCTAAATACAAATTAGAGACTTGAGATTTTTCTTGGTAAAAAATTGAATAATTTAAGAGATTCAACCATATGGATAAAAATAGTGAATTTTATATACTAGTGTTTGTTCGAGACTTAACATGAGCAAAACAAAATCACGGATTTGGACGAAAAAAACGCGGTCAAAAACAACTCAAATTTTTCATCTTTTTATAGTCAGTTCACTTTATAATGTATGTAATTGTAGGTAAACAAAAGCAAATGTTGATAAAATAGCGAGGATTACAAAGCATTACCAGTGGTCACCAATCAGGCTTGGATCCCTCTCTTTCGTTGTATCAAGTTTGGTATGCACCTGCCCTGATTACCTTTTTCGATCGCTTACAAATTCTTTGGTCGAGAAGAAACCTTCTCAAATGAAAAACAGATTCAAGGTTTCGTTGAAATGTTCTTCACTTCAAAATCTGCGAAACTTTACTCAAAATGTACGGAAGAACTTTCGGAAGTAACGAGTCATTCATTTTAAGTGATGGTGCATATATAATTCTATAGAATATAATTTTGCTTCATTTCTTTTTGTGAATGAAGTTGATAAACAAAATCGAAAATTATTTGTGAGTCAACCTAATGTATAACGCAAGTGTATTGAGAAAGAAAAACTGATTTTTATTGAGCTTCTCTTATATTATACAAATCCTGACGTGTTATCCTTTGTTCTCTAACAGCGTGGTTTCTTCTGTTTCGTCGACCAGTTATAAAGGTCAGTTGTGTGATAGACAAAAGCAGACATGGAGGATCCAAGCAGTACAAAGGGACATAATGTTAACTTGCCCTGGCGTTGTCTGAATAAAAGACATAAAATGTATTGGGAGATAGCATCCAAGTATCAAAGAGATTGATGAAACAGAGAAAAGGAACGAAGGTTACGGCGAAGGAAATCATAAAAGTGGAGTTGATTATTAGGCATGCCGGTCGCTAGCGGGAGGAATATGGCGTCCGATTGGTTGGTTTCAAAAGAGGAGATAACTCTTGCTTTGTATTACTCGGCCTATGCAGCATCTTGTTTCTTAATAATGGTCTCATTACGGCGAATATTAATTAGTTTGAAAGATGACCGAACTATGGGAATACGTGATTTCGGCTTACATAACAAGTTGATTTCGATTCTGTTGTTAATGCTTTTGTTAGTGACAAAGTCAAAAGAGGCCATGTCTATCACCATGAGCTTAATTATTAAAATGTCAATTATAATAATCTTTTGGTATATGGCAAATGTCTCTTACAGTAATGATGACAGAATGGGGCTTGTTCTATCGATGTTTAAGTAAACGAAAAAGTAAAGAAAAGCAAATCCGAACGCCTAAGCTTCACTTCTCTGTAGAAACACGGACATGATAGTATTTTTGTTGCTAGATTTTTGTTTTAAAAATGCATAGTTGTCAGCAATTGGAACAATTCATTTGATTTTTTACGGCTTACCAACCAATTGTGCGTTAATTAACGCCAAAACATATTTTGGATTGTAAGTTATGGGTTCTTACCCATAATAATAATAATAATGGACTATTCCATACTTAATAAATACTGCGCCTCAGAGTAGGCAAGGAGTCAGTAGTTCGGAGTCAGTCAGTAGTTCAAGTCGAGTCAGAGGCAGTTCGAAACAGAGTCGCGTTCAGACAATTACTGCAAGACATTGAAATAGTGATACTGGTCGAAACTACATTGTTCTCTCTACTAAACCTGATTGTTCGTACTAACACTTCTACTTCTCTGTATATATTCCTGTTTGTAATATATCTGTGTTATTCCGTACGTGTGTTCGAGTTCTTCTTTATTGGTTCTACCTTGGACTATCACCGTGGTACAAGGAACCGGACCAAAACAGTAAGATTTTTTTTTTTTACGAGTGAATACTGCAAATAATCATTTTTTGAGAATAACAGTGTTTTTTTCCAGGTACAAGTCGTAATATTTAACTCATAGGTAGCGGGTGTATTCTTACGTTTGTTTTGAGTAAGTGAATATTACGAACCCGACTGGAATTCGAGCTCTCCGATTTTGTTGTCAGCGAAAGAGACATCACAAGGTATCAGCTATGTATTGAAATCATTTCACCCCTCGCAAGGCGATAATGCCAGTAGGACAGAGAGGGTTATAGGGCGTAAAAGAGAATTAGAAGACTTTAGTGAGAAGTAATGAAAAGGACAATAAAGGAACAGGTTTCAGGAAGGCAGAAGATGGCAAATGATGTTACATTTAAATGTTTGAAGAATGCAGGCGGCAGGCAAACGAGAAATTGGAAGGTAGTTCCACAAGCGAGAAAAGAAACTAACGGTTGGATCTAGCTAGTTCGACAGTTAAACACTGAGACCTAATTGCCAATCAAGTAGCACGTAATCGATGAACTAAAGAGACAAGCTCATCAAAGTATACCCTTGTGCAAATTAATTGAAACAAAATGAATAATTCCGTTATTATTTTCTATTTTTTCGTATTTTTCGAATGAAACATGACCCAGTACACATATAATTACTTTGTATGTTCATTCCTTGCAAATTGACCACAGATTCTCGATTGGATTTAAATCAGGAGAGTTTCCGGGCTAGTATATAGTACTTTGATTTTCTCACTGGGAAGACTTGTCAGGATGTTCGTGATTCGTTACAATTTACGTATTCTTCCTTGGAGTAACGTCCGTCGCAGACAATCGCCGTAGGACAAGTAATCGACAGTCGAGACAATAGTGTCTGGACATGATAAAAATCTGATGCAATCACGCATGACACAATATTTTTCAAGGCCAAACAAATATCATCACACACCCTGAAAATAGATTCATATTATTGCACATCACTGCAAATGACCCAATATGAGGAAAAAATAGAAATTAATTACACCCTGTCACTCCAGTGGGTCTAAAACTGACCGTATGGTGAAAGAAAGTAAACTAAAGCGGTTGTTTCAACTAATTTGCACAAGGGTGGAGTTGCCATGAAAATATTTGTTGAAAAGGCAGAGAGAAGCCGCATCACGTCGGTGAGAAAATGACTGAAGACGAGATGCCAGGTCAAGATCGATTATATTGCAGATCCTTCTTTGAATTTTGTCAAATATCTCGAAATATATAACAGGATAGATTTATAAATGAGCATGATGGATTCTTCATGTCAGGGGTAAACGTGAGACCAACAAGTTGCAAAGTGTTAGTTGTCTGAGGTTAGCATCGGCTATCCTGGTAGCAGGAAGAAATGGCTCTCAGGTAATTAAATAAAAGCACTTTTGTTCTGAGAGGTCAAATTCACAAGTCATTCCTTGTTCCAGTTAACCACTGATTTGAGTTGCCAGTTTCACTTCGTCGGATCTGTCGGATTTGCTAATAAAACAGGAGTAAATAGTTTCGCCATTACCATAAATAAGGAGTTGGGAACACATGACATCGGCAAGGTCGTTGATGAAGATCAGCAACAGCCTTGGCCCGAGAGATGACAGAGGGCTTTTTGCAGCAAAAGTCATCCCATCATCTCACAATGTTGAAATTCTTAGATGCTCTTAAAAGAGGACAGGACTTGCAAGAAATTCCTATTGCAAAACTAAGAACAGGTTGCCAAAAGATCAAGAGCGCCAAGAATTACAGCGACGTAAATGAAAAGAGGATAACATGACTAAAGACTGCGTGTACGCCATCCCGTGCAGCTGCTGAAAGAAATATAAACGGGAGACAGGCTGTCCCCTTAAGGTAAGGCTTCAAAAACACCAAAAAGCTGTAACAGGAGGGGAAGTGGAAAAATCAGGCGTGGCGGACCAAATATGGAGAGAAAAGGGAAATCACCGCCCTCTGTGGGATCAGGTTGAAATCATAGATATAGAACATCATTGGAAAATTCGTAAGGAATCAGCACATATGCCAGGCCACAATAATTTCCTGAGCCGACCAAGCACAGAAATGAATAGAAAATGGGAACCAGTAATAAGGAGTGCCAGAGAAAAGCAATATCAACCAAAATTGGTAAAAAAAAAAAAAATGCAATGATAACAGCAAAAATTGCAATATGAGCACTGGTGAAAAAATATAGCAGAAGACATTAGGTTTACAATAACCAGAAATTCATACACAGCTGCTCCCAAGGACAACATGGCACAATAGATAAAGGCGTTAGTTAGATCCAGTGAGAGGACCCAAAGAGTGTGAGTTCAATACCTGGTTAAGGCGCTGGAGAACTTGGAGAGGGGAATTAAGAGGAGATAACTGACATCCATTAGACATGGAACAAGAACAGCCTACCCCAACAAGCGAAATAAAGAGTTCAGTTCTAGTGAGTCCGATCCTCACTGGGTGCTCCATATTTTCGGCCTTGTGCCACGTTTAAGCAGTGCTTAGTAAATCGCTATATACTGTTATTCAACCCCCTCATTTGTAGTTCCGAAATCGAATTAATAGTAGCATGATCTTTCCAACCGACCCGTTTAATTCCATCCCACCCGTTTATTCCATAACACCAGTTAATTCCAACCCATCCGTTTATTCCCACCCCCGTTTATTCCAACACACTAATTTATTCCAACCTACGCCTGTATACCAACTGACCCGTTTATTTCATCTTACCCGTTTATACCACCTGACCCGTTTATTCCAACCTACCCGTTTATTCCAACCTGACCCGCTTATTCCAACCACCCATTTACCCAACTATTTCATCCTACCCATTTATGCCAACTGGCCCGTTTATTTCATACCACCTGACCCGCTTATTCCAGCCAACCATTTATACCAACTGGCCCGTTTATTTCATCCTACCCGTTTATGCCAACTGGCCCGTTTATTCCAAGCTACCCGTTTATACCACCTGACCCGCTTATTCCAGCCTACCCATTTATACCAACTGGCCCGTTTATTTCATCCTACCCGTTTATGCCAACAGGCCCGTTTATTCCAAGCTACCCGTTTATACCACCTGACCCGCTTATTCCAACCTACCCATTTATACCAACTGGCCCGTTTATTTCATCCTACCCGTTTATGCCAACTGGCCCGTTTATTCCAAGCTACCCGTTTATACCACCTAACCCGCTTATTCCAGCCTACCCATTTATACTAACTGGCCCGTTTATTTCATCCTACCCGCTTATACCAACTGACCTGTTTTATTCCAACCTACCCGTTTATTCCACCTAACCGTTTATACCAACTGGCCCGTTCATATCAACTGACCCGTTTATTCCAACCTAACCGTTCACACCAACTGACCTGTTTTATTCCAACCTACGCGTTTATTCCAACCTACCCGTTTATTCCAACCTACCGGAAAGAATATGTTCAGTAGTCGGAAAAACTTTTGGAATGATCCGCACATTTCTCAAAATTATCGTTGTCTCTGAAGCATCTAACACCTAAACCTACCGAATATATTTCTCTGGCCAATGTATAGGCTCCCCAAGAATAAATCTTCAGTTGTCATTTATAGAGACTGTGAAAAGAAGGTCTCAAAGAAATACATAATTGATCCTTCTAGGAATTTAAATAAAACATTACATGAACAATAAAAGAGATGTTTTGCAAAGCAAACATCGTAGTCGGTTGGATCTTACTTTCGCCTGAAAGACTACAGTTTTAATTAAAAAAGAAATAATTTATTCAGACAGATGTATTGAATGTGCACTGATTTCAGAATCTTCCACGATAAATTTATGTTCCGCTTCATACATGTTGTCTACTTTCATAACAAAACTTGCGATTTATAAAATTCTTCCTTTATGTACCTTTATAGTTTTATAAAATTCTTCCTTTATGTACCTTTCAAATATTTAATTTTAGCAACAACAACAGCAACAACAAAAAATGTCCTCTTATATTTAATGATAATTTCATACTTTTATTAGCTTTATTCTTTTCTTATTTATTGATTCATTTCTATTATTGTTATTAAAGTAATAAGTCAATGTGGTTCATTTAATAACAACGAACTGTTCGCTTCAGCATCCAGTGTAAAATATATATGATCATCTTTTGTCGTGGTAGAAGGCTTACTTGTCCCAGGGATTCCAAGAGAGAAACCGTCTGGAGTTGCAACACCTGTAAGGTCACCCATGGTGGTGAGGTCGATAAGGAACGCGATCAACCCCGGAAGACCCCAACGGCAGAATAGTCAAAGTTCTACTATCAGGTCATCCGATAAGTTCTGTCCGAATTTTAACTTTTTGTTAAAATGAACGAAATTTAAAGAGTATTTTATAATGTCTAATGGAGCTGAACATTATTTTTATGTTTACATGCATTTAAACTGATCAAATTTTATTTCAGAGAACAATAAAATTAATTTTGTTTGATTAAAACCCTGCTAACATGGAAGTACCCAAGAATCATTTGAGGCACATAATGCTTTATGAGTTCAAGAAAGGAAACTCAGCAGCCGAAGCAGCTAGAAACATTCACTCAGTTTATGGAGAGGAATGTGTGAATGAAAGAACTTGCAGAAGATGGTTTGCAAAATTCAGAGGTGGAGATTTCACCCTTGAAGATGAAGATCGAACCGGACGTCCAGTTGTGTTTGATGAAAAGCTTCTTGAAGCAGCCCTTGAAGAAAATCCTACTTTATCAGTTGAGGAATTGGCAGTGGTACTCAGTTCCAACCATACAACTGTTCATCGTCATCTTCAACAACTTGGAAAAGTTCCTAAACTTGGAAAATGGGTGCCTCATGAATTGTTTGAAAACAACCTCAAATCCTGAGTTGACATCTGCTTTTCTCTCCATTCTCGCCAACTTGTTTCACCTTTTTTTGGATAGACTTGTGACTGGCGACGAAAAATGGATCTTTTATCGAAATGTTATGCGTCGTAGACAGTGGCTTGATAAAGGAGAAGGACCCTAGCCACAGCCAAGAAGGGAACTTCATGGGCAAAAGGTTCTTCTTTCAATCTGATGGGATCGCCAAGGAATAATCCACTTTGAATTCTTACCACGTAATGCAACAATTAATGCTCAAATATCCTGTCAGCAATTAGAGCGTTTGAACCAAGCTTTAATGAAAAAAGACCTGCTCTAGTGAATCGAAAAGAGGTGATTCATCAGGACAATGCGCGACCGCACACAGCAAGAATCACGTCACAAAAGATCGAAGAACTTGGTTGGGAGAAGATTCCTCATCCACCTTATTCTCCCGATCTGGCTCCTTCAGACTACCATTTGTTTTGTAGCTTAAAGAATCATTTGGAAGAAACAGTTTTTGTAACACAGGAAGAGGTTAAAACTGACATTTTTGAGTTCTTTGAATCAAAGCCAAAAGAATTTTACAGTAATGGAATTAGTAAGCTTGTTAATAGATGGAAGGAAGTCATAGATAATCAGGGAAATACATTGTTGATTGAATCTGCAATTAAATGTAACATTTGGTCACTTGTTTTCTTTATTCAAAATTCTGACAGAACTTATAGGATGACCTGATAGATCTCAACGGTCAAACAGGCGGAAGTCTGGCTGGCGTAACCAAGTCGGACCTTGACAGACCAATCATCCGACGGCCCGATGCAACCTGGTTTGCTAGATCTCGCCTGTCTCAATCCCTTTGAGCTGCAAGGGAGGCGCTTCTGGCCAAGTATGTGGGCTTCACGGTCACGCTGTGTTGTCCACCAAAATCAAATTCACGTGAATGGTCTCGTCAAACTCTCTTTGATTCAGAGCCATTTCTGGTACCAGGGAAGCGAAAGAGAATAGGTAGAGAGGATGATAATTCCGATGATGGGACGTGAGCCGGTGCCGACAACAATAATGTGAGGTATTTAAAACAATGACCTCTTCAAATCAATGGTCAGTCGTTATTTTTCTCCCTTATTTTCATAATCTTTCAAGTTACCCCTTTCTTTGAGTGGCTCTGAAATCTTGTATGAAATTAAAAAAAGAATTCGATGAAAATAAAAAATGACAGAAATAAGGTCGGCTACAACAGTTTTTCTCAACCCCTTTTTTTCCTTGTGACCTGTTTTTTTTTTTTTTTTTTTAAACAAAAAAAGAAAATTAAAACCCACATGGGCACAAATAGAAATTCCATATTACAGGAAATACATTTTATTTACAAAAGCAAAATGTAGTAAAAAGTATAAACCTTGACTAATGACTACACTTGATCTTGGTGTCTGTCTGTCAGCTTGTCAAGTTGAACTTACAAGCCAAAGTAAAGCAGTCTGTGTTTTCATAATTTTACGCCAGTGGATAAAAAACTAGAATTTCTAAGCCTATCTATTTTTCTTGGGCCAATCCCAGACCCATTTTAAAAATTTCTCAGGCCCACGATGAGAATCACTGGGCTAGGTTATGCACCTAGATACACCGGAAGACGAAAAATGTAAAAAAAATTATGTTTAAAGTAAAGCGTCTCTGTATCGTTAGCGGTTCTCAATGTAAAATTGTAACAGACATTTATTGGATTTTTTTCCCACCCACTATATATAATACCCCATCAATAAAACTATTATTAGTCTGAATAAAACCTTCGAAGGACGAAACACGTAACATAGGAGTTTTTATTTTCATTTTGTCATTGACTTATTCACTATTATTCTGATAGAAAAATTGTTACATCTTCCAGAACAATCCATGTATGGCGGTTACTGTTTTTGTATATGTATTTGAGCTTTCTGCGCATGTGCGTGTAATTATTGTTTCAGGAAGTTCATGAAAAAGCACTCCGAACTCATTCACTCAAATGCGCATGCGCATTGAATAACTGTTGACACATTCGATAATCGCAGAATTTGCAATTTCTTTATTCTTTTTTTTTTTTTTACAAAGACATGTTCTGACTGAAATCATAAACTAATTTTATTTTATTTATTTATTTTTTTTTTTTGCTATTTATCGTGCGGAGGTGCAGTTGATTGAAGAGCCTGACGAAAAGTCAAGAGAGATATCGTTGGCATGGGATTCAACAATCAATATGAAGAAACACATAGTCGCTTTTGTAAAATGATGAGGAAAACTTCATTTTTCTTTATTGTTTTTTTTTTCATCGAATGGAAGCGGTAAAGTTAGTAGTAATTTTAATTTCGTTGTAAAAATGAGTTAATTAACACAGGTAATTAAAATGACTTCATTTATTAAATATTTTTAATTATTCTTCTTTTCGGGTCGCTACACCACACCTATCCAGTGTTGCACACTGAGCATTGCCTTGGGGTGTTATGGTTTCAAGGTCGTTAAGTGTGCATGAATCTTCAAGATTGGGGCAAACTAGAAGCTGTTTCATAGTTTGTAATTGTTCGCATTGGCAGTTAGGATCACTATTGGCGATATATCGCCATCTCTGAAGGTTGATTGTACAACGACCAACTTCTGTTCGGAGGCGATTTAGGCAGGACTAGAAGGGCCGGGCATGATTAATCGGGAGTTAAGGTGGCTGTATCACAAAGACAGACGCTGACGAAAGGCAGTGTTGTTATTTTTAATTAATATTGTATTAATCACTCGTGGGTAACAAAAGCAATAAAATGATCTTAACCAATTATGAGCAGTCGTTAAAAGGTTATCAACCTTTCGTTTCGAATTTGGGACACACAAGAAGGACACACAGGAAGGCTGGCAAGGCACCTATTAATATTCTTTTCGTATTTGCCCAGATCTCAAGCATCCTGGGTATGACGACAAACTACATCCGGCATCAAGGCTTCTGATTAGAAGGTTTTGAGGAGAGTCGAACCGCTTCTTAACTGTCGTTATTCCCAGGGCCAACCTGATCCGGGGTGGTAGTACCTGTCAGGAGCCCAGCTATGGGCAAATAGTTAACCCCTAAACTGGGTTCAAAACATTATGAAAGTATAAAAATACATTTTTGTAGTAAGAATAATTACCATCCTGGAAAAGGAATAGAAAAATTACCAGCAATATATTTTTGAAAACAAATTACTAGAGTTCCCCACAAAAAATTAAATTTCGTCATTAAATGACCCATAAGGTGTTGATATGCCGTTAAACAAACAAAACCAAGCCAGACCTCAAAGGAAACTTGTATATAAGATGCCTCGCTAAAGATGCTGCAAAAATAATCGGTTTCCTGTAGCGCTCCAGTAAGTATCTGACTCTTTCTGTTTTGATCGAACCGTTATT